GCTTTGAAATTTTTGCCTGGGAGAGACCTTGCTGATGCAGTCTTACTACCTTGTGTCTTGTTGCTGTTCTCAGCCTTCCCAGGGTGTATGACCTGTGACATGAAACTGTCTTCCACAACCTCACCTTAGTAGCAGAATTTGGCTGTTCCTCTCCCAGTTTTAAGCCTCCTACACAGCTGTTTCTGTTTCAGTTAATGACTGTGTTTCAACCTACACATGAAATCGATGATCTTTAGCACCTGCTTGGGCTACTTATTTTACAACTGTGGACAATTTATCAAGGTAATGTAGGGCTAGATGTGGAATGTTTTATGGAATGGAATTTGTGCTGTTCTGCCTTCAGGTTTATTTATGTGTACTAAATGGAAAAAAAAGACAATGGAAAATATATTTAAAGAAAGATGAAGTGTTTTGTATGTTATTGAACTGGAACTGGATTGCTTTACATTTGTTTAATATATTAATTCATGGCTAAAAATAGAGGTATATGATTTTGCTATTCATTTTCTGATGTTTCATTAATGTATAGGTCCCAGCAGACCTTCAAAATGAAGTTCTAATTAGTTTGCTTGAGACTGATCCAGATGTTGTAGACTATTTGCTGAGAAGGAAAGCTTCCCAGTCATCGTGAGTAGTTTGTTAACTTTCCCTTTATTTGCTTCCATTGGGGAACCATTTATCATGATTGTCCAAAGGCTTCTTATTTCAGAACCCCTGAGATGTTGATTTAAATAGCAGGTTTGAACAATGTTAATCATTATGAAGTTAAATTATCAACCTCTTTTATAACTTAAATGTTAGTGATCATAACCCTGATAACTTTAGAAAAACCCTTTAATTATTTTTTATATGCAACAGCTTAATTTGCAAGGATATTTTAATAAAGTTAACTTGAGTTAAATTTCAGAGATTGTCCAAGGCCTCCAGCCACTATATCTTGGGAGAAAATTGGAAATACCTAGTTAGCTCCATTTGCACTAAAGCCTGGATTCATGACATAATGTCAAAGGTGCAAATGTGTCTGCAATTAGAACTTTCTGGGCCAATGGCACACCTAAGGTTCGCATTTTAATGAGATTTTAAGTAAAATGTTAAACAGGAAGTTAGCATGCTGCTAAGTATTGAACTCAAATGTTTATTTCTAGAAATGCTTCTGGATCCCATACAGAGCAAAGAGGCATTTTAATCACTAAAAATGATAGCAGGACTGCAGGCCCGTGGTTTGTTGCAGGTTTGTCACCTGCTTAGAAAAGACACCAACTCAAACTGAGGCAATAGCATGCATCCTGGAAAGCTGTGTGAAGTCACAAGGAAGAACCTTAACAGCGTGACTTTCAGTCAGTATTTTGGATTTGCCCTGCCCATCATGGCATGCCGTTTGTGAAAGTCCTGCTCACATGCTTTTGCAATCCAGAATGTACCCAGAGATTCCCAACCTTTGGGTACCATTCTGAATTAACTTTATTTTAAGCTCTGCTTTTCCACCTTGTATAGCTATGACGCAGGTGAGGGCATAGAAATTCCAGTGGATACACAGGTCTTCTCTATCTTTGCTCTAAAATGTCTCTAAAATTAGATTCCTGTTGAAGTGAATCCACTTCATACAAAAATTATCTGCAGGTATTGCTTATTTTAAGAAGGTTCACTAATGCAATTTATATAATTAGCCTTACCAAATTGGGCAACTCAAGCAGACATGAACATAATAGTAGCTTTGGAATCTTATTCTAGCAACTGATAATTAAGAGTTATTATCATCTGATACTAGAGATAGCAGTCATTCCTTATTTTCCATGTTCAGCTTTGCCTTAGTCCTGACAAATATGTGCACCATTTGTATCATAGCTGGTTTGTATGCAGATTATCTTTTCTTCTGCTTTGGAAATGAAGGATGGTGCATTCCTTCCTTAAGCCCTGATTCTTTACTTATTTTTAAGTCAGTTAAACCTCCTAAGAGGAAGCATTCTTTTTCAACATTTTCCAAGAAATCATTGGGAACAGTTTGTTGTAATTCACAGTTGATAGGACCAGTGATTGTGCTATGTGTTTCAACAAGAGTATTAAATATGTTTGAGAATGACAAATCATCACTTTAGTTTTGTTCTCCTCTTAGATGCATAATTAATATTGAAGTGCCCAGGAATCATTTTTATATGTTTTGATACTAGCATGTTTCCAGATGTAACTGCGAAGTCATGGGAAAGAATTTGGCTAGAAGATTAAAGGGACAATTTGTTCAACATGAAAAGAATGTCATACTCATAGGACACGTCTTGTTTCTGTGTCAGTTTGGAGAGATGGCTACATATTCACATGGTTATTTTTCCTGATAAGTTGAACCAAAAAGGAAAAAGTGAGATACACATCTTTTGGGACCATCTTAATATTCTTGATAATGGATTTCAAATCTTGACATGAAAAACTTTGTAACTCTGCATGAGAAGTGAGCACATGTCCAACAGTGGGAGTAATTGGTTGTGTAGCAAAATGTGTGAGAAAAACTTCAGTTGCTACTTGTAAAATGGGCATAGTGACTTCCTACATGGACTTTTCTCTTGATTAAAACACTTTCTTGCATCTACTTTTGCTAATAGCCTCACCATTTTTCCTTTTCTCTTAACTGGAAGACTGCCTGCTCAGTCACGATGAAATACTACAACATTATATAACACTGCTTACTAATAACACTACAGTGATGACAATCTATTTCTGGACTCTTCTTATCCTTTCTAATACGGCTGGATTTCTCAGGATGAAATTCATCTCTAACTACATACTAACCTTAAACTAAACCACCATTTGCAACTGAAATCAAGGTTCTTGCTGTGAAGGATTTCTTGTTAAATCCTAAATAGAACATGGAATGGCCATTTTAAATTCTTAATCAGGGAGTATCTTTTGAGAAAAAAACTAGAATGTTCAACTTTTATTCAAGGTAAGGTACTTAACATAATTTGAAAGATTTTTTAAAGTTTTATTTTATTAAAAGCAGTATTTAAGTGGAGTGTCCTTTGTTCTATGCTCATTGTTCGTTGTGGTTACCTTTTTTCATGCACTAACGTACAAAATGCTTCCTGTATTACACTTAGAGTTACAACATATTATTAAAGCTTTCTTTTTTTTAATTCGAATATCTGTTGATCTCTGCTTTTTGTCTTGGACATAATTTAGTAGTATTTTCACCAAATTGTGTTGAATCCCATCCTATAATTGTTTGTTAATAAGGCAGTTACTTTCTATAATCTCTAGTTTTATTCTAACCACATATCATTGAAATATACTGTTCTTTACGTGGGCTAAATTTCATTAACTCCTGTTTATGTTTCATTTTATCAGAAGCCCTGAAATGCTTCAGTCTGGAGGTTCATTCTCCCTAGAAGGCAGACATTCATCCATGGACTCAAACAGAACTTCAAGTGGTGATATATCACCCTATGACAACAACTCTCCAGTGCTGTCTGAACGATCTGTTTTGGCAATGCAGGAAGATATGTCCCTCGCTTCTGATAATTTATTTAAAGCACCAGAACAACACACATTAGTCAGCCGTTTTCAACCAAAATCAAAAGAGAATTCCTTTGGATCATGGTTTGGGAAAGGTATGATCAGATGTACCATGACTAAGTGAACATTCATTGGTTCTAATGTCATTGGGAATACATCTCCTTTAATTTGTTCCCTTAATTCTTTTTATTACAAACCTTGTTTTTGTTACTGAATTGATTTCCTTGACGGAATGGAGTCAGACAGTTACTATTGGACAGATACAATTTATCCATTAAAATTACAGTTCCTAACAGCAAACTTCTAATTTTAATTTAAAGGTCATCTGAGAAAACATTCTTTGAAAAGTTTTGGTATTTTTTAACTATCCAAACAATATCTGCATCCAGTTGAAAAAGATCTTTATACAGAATGCCCTTCAATTGTATTTAAATCTTCACAAAGACAGTAATTTATAAGTGCAGAGTTAACACATCAATTCAGAAACCTGCGAATGGGAAATACATTTAGTGGACTCTTAAACTAGAATTATAATGGCATAATTATGCCTCTGTGGTTAAGTCATAGTTTCATTGTTCTATCATATGAACATCTTAATATTTAACCTGATAAAATCTATGGATTATGGAACCTGTTGAATTTCTGTCAAGACATAAATGAAATATTGGGGAATCTGTATGCATTGTAAGGAATATATGCCATAAATTCATTATGGATATTTCTTCAAGTGTTTGGGGATCTGTATCTGTTGAAAAACTCCAAATACATCCCTCTGCAGCTCTATTGACTTCAAAATCCAAGGCACAATGTCAATGCATCAAGTTTCCAATACATAAAGCCATTATAATATTTAAGATCTGTCAGAGTTATCATAACTTGCTATAGTACAGAAGTGAAATGTTTAAAAAATGAAATCAGTTCTAATTCTTTGCAAGTGTTTTGAATGATAGACCTCATACTTTTTCTTGAATCTTGTATTTTGTCTTTGAATTTTTGACAATTACATCTCTCATTATTCTACTGAGGAATGTTTGGGCCAGAAACTATCACAGAATGAAAAATTCTGTGAACCTAAAAAAAATGATTTTAGTTGGAAGGGAGTTCCCTGTACAACATTTCATGCTGCTTTTCATCCAGGACTTTCACTGAGTCATGGCATGGGGATCTATTGCCCTTATGGTAAATAAATCCATTGAGTTAGCAATAGCTCTTGATGTCAAGCTAATTTTTTTTTTAGATCCTAGCTGTTGTTTCTGATCTATAGTTATGACCCCATAACATTTTAGCTTGGTATCAAGCTACACTTGGCTGCCCTGCTGTACATCAATCTTCTTATGGCCAAATTGCAGTCTTATTGTATGCAGATGATGTAGTGCTTCTGTCACAAATATCAGTTGGACTGAAATGAGCTCTGCATACCCTTATTGTTCTCAGAAAGCACTTGAGATTAGCTATACTAAGATCTTTATTTCTGCAAAGTAACCCAGGGTCCCTAACCTGGAAACGGAACTAGTCAAAATCTTTAAATATTTGGGCATGTTTTTTATAACTCGGCCAAATACAGGTCATACCAAAATTATATAATTCAAAATGCACTAAAATTAGTGGAAGCAATACAAACCTTCTGCTTCACCAGATGGTCACAGCATATCCTAGCAGTGTTAAAAGCTGTATCTGGTTAAGGCACACTTTTGTTGCAACTTTTGTTGGTTGCTCAGTTGGGACCATACAGTTTCTTTGTCCCTCTGGAAAGATTCAGTTTAAATTCTTAGGGGCTATATTGCAAATGATCCCATGTGTACCTAATGTGGTACTAAGCAGGGAGGCAAGCAAGTAGAAATGGTTGCATGGATTTGTATTAGTTCCAATAGAAGAGAATATATGTAGCTCAGGATTGAACTGTGGAGACCTTGGTGCTCTCTGAGCTTGGTTGTTTGCTTGCAGATGTTTCATTATCCAATTAGGTAACATCTTCAGTGCTAGAAGGAAGTGGGGTTTGCTCCCTGTTTTTATATAGTAGCTTCCCCTGCCAGGGTTGGTGGGGGTATGGTTTTCTCCTTGGTAGTTCCCTGATGAAGGTATAGTTTTTGCTTGATTGTTTGTCTGGTGTTAATCAATCTCTGCCTCACTACCTACTTTCAGTAGATAGACAAATATACCAACCAGTCAGAGGAACACCCATGGAATCATCACTCTCAGGACTCATAGCAGAAACCGTAATGCAGCGTCTAGAAACTATAGTACTTCTTTCTGATCTATGTGTTAAATGTTAAGATCATTTACATTCATATTCCTTCTAATCCAATAGATGTTTCAGAGGACTATTTCGACATCTGGGGCACCTGGCATTCAACACTGAAAAGTGGTTCCAAAGGCATGGGAATGACAGGTATACATTTTCTTTCTGTTTTTATGTGTTGAATAATCATGATTTGAATATTCATATAATAGTACTATTTCATTACGGTATTGTACTAGAAGAAGATTGCTAAATCTCTTTCTCTAAAAGTCATCCATTTTGTATAGCACATGGTTCAGGGAACTGTAGTTTACAGAAGTTTATACCATATTAACTATTTTTTCTGTTTGAGTATCACAGGAGTTTGCACAACAAGCTGGTTTTCTGCAAACTGACAGATATTATATTCAAATCAAGGCACAACTATCTGTAGAATATTTTGTGCTATAGAACAGGGGTATCTGTATTGAAACATTGTGTTTGTATGTGTGAATAATAATTAATAGTTCTAGATATCATTCCCAAGCCTGATGAATGATCCTAATGCCTATGTCATTCTAAATTATTTAAAAAAAAAAGTGTGCTTTGCTTTTTTATTGATTGTTCTCTATGGTTCTTTAGGGTCATATGGAGACATCTATGAGAGCAGCTCGTTGCGGCCAGGGCAGTGTTCCCTTTCTCAAGGGAACCTGTCGTTGTCTTCACCTCAGTGGCAGGAAACCAATACAGAGCTAGATAATGGAAAACCGGTCATCCGGAGGAGTCAGACAACAGCTGCCCTTCCTGAATGTCACTCGCATCCCCCTCTGTCTCGAGTGTGCAGCACCCCACAAATTGAAGTAGGTAGAAGGAATTCCAGCCAGTCTAATTCAAAACAGCATTCACCTGTGAGAAATACAGAGAACTTTATGGAGCATGACTTAGATGCAACTTGGCTGCATGCCGCATTTAAGCCATTGTCCCTAAGGCAAGCTGAAGTAATTCGAAAAGACAGACCACCACCTCCTTATCCTGAAACAGCAAAACAAAGTAGCATATCATCCCTCCAGCCAACTGTGTCTCCTACAGGATATCCATTGTGGAAGCTTCAGAAGACAGACTCCTTATTTGGGGCCCAGGGAATGAGGATAATGACTCAGGTGCCTGAACAACCTGTCCTGCACGAGGAGCAACAGAACAAAATTGAAAGAAAGTACTCCGCTCCAGACAGTGAGCACAACAGTAAAAAACAGTCAGAGACAGACTGGCATGACTGGCAAAGCAATCGATGGCAAATTTGGGAGATATTATCACCTGATAATTCAGATGCACTTCCTGAAACATTAGTATGAGTGGAGAAATCAGCAGGTCCCTCTGTCTTTTCCAACTAGGGAAAACTGGTAATGGTGGACTGGATTTATATTGAATTATTTTTTTAAAAAACTGTGTTTACTTTATGGAGGATTTTAAAATTAAATTTATTAAAATAATTTTAATAGAACTGTAAAATTCAGTAACACATTTTTCTGGTTTTGTAGTCATCGCAAGAAGGAAATGTGAGATGGCAATTTCGGCCCAAACTACTCTGTAAAATATAAGCTCTGTATACAATAAAAATAACACACTTGATGTTGCTAAGATATATTTATGTATCTGCAGCTCAAATGACTGTATATTATGCAGATGTTTTGTGTATGATAGCATTGTGTTTATATGCAGAAAACAAATAATCTTGAATGCTTTTTTTGAAAAAAAATATTTTAATCATGCACTACTAGTATTAATATACGATATATTGACATCCTCTTGGAAATGCACAAACTGGTTTCTGTGCTTTTAACTAATCTGTTTGCAGAAGACGTATATTTTCACTGACAAATAAGAAACAATGTGGAATGAGAACATTAAAAGCCATATATTTTATAGTAAAGAAGTTAAAGAGTATCTAACATGTTATTTGCTTGCAAGGAAAATTTAAGAACTATATATTTTTGACTCTTTTAGAAAGCAGTTCCAGTCACCCCTTCATAAGTATGGCCATGCTGACACCATATACAAAAAGTTCCCAAAGATTCTTCTACCCATTCCATATTAGGGTTGTTTAAGTTGTGGGGTGGGTGGGGAAGTGCAGGAGGGGGTGTTTATAAAGTATTGTTAAGATTGTTCATTTGACAAACCCTTTTGAATTTTCTATATTTCTGCATAAATATGAACTAAAACATGATCTGCTCTCCACACAAGTCCTAAAACTAGATAAAGAGAACCCAATTAAATAAATGAGTCAAATACATTATTCTTGTTTGTTTGTTTATTTATTTATTGAAGAAAATATCCAACATACGTATTTGTGTGTGGCAAAGCTATATGAACCTTTGCTTTCAGTAACTGATGTGCCCCCCTTGGGGAGAAATAACTGCAACTAACATTTCCGATAACTGTGAATCAATCCTGCCCATTGGCTTGAAGGAATTTTACCCCATTCCTCCGTACAGAACAGCTTCAGCTAAGGATGTTGGTGGGCTTCCTTGCATGAACAGCTCATTTCAGATCCACAACTCTTCTATAGGATTAAGGTCAGGAATTTGACTTAGCCATTCCAAACTTTAACTTTTTCTTCTTTAACCATTCTTTGGTTGTACAACTTGTGTGTTTTGGGTCATCATCTTGCTGCATAACCTCCTTTCTCCTAAACTTCAGTTCATGGACAACATCCTTAAATTTTCCTGAAGAATTTGCAGTACAGTTCAGAATTCATAGTTCCATCAATGATGGCAAGCTGTCTTGATCCAGAGGCAACAAAGGAGGCCCAAACCATGATACTGCCACCACATTTCACAGATGGGATAAGTTTCTTATGCTGGAATGCAGTATTTGCCAAACACTGCTTTTCATTCAAGCCAAAAAGTTCTATTTTGGTCTCAGCCATCCACAAAACATTCCATAGCCTTCTGGCTTATACATGTAGTCTTTCGTAAACTGTAGATGTGTAGCAGTGGGTGTTTGTTTTTGCAGAGTAGTGGCTTTCTCCTTGCCATGTGCACAATTGTTCAATGTTCTCCTGATGGTGGACTCATGAATACTGATATTCACCAAGAGAGCCCTTTAGTTCCTTAGATGTCACCCTGGAGTTCTTTGAGACCTCCCAGAGTATTACATGCCTTGGGCTTGTTCGTTGACCACTCCTGAAAAGGGTAGCAATGGTGTTGAATTGCTTCCATTTACACACAATCTGCCTGACTGTGGACTGGTGGAGTCCAGAATCCGGAAATAGTTTTGTAACCTTTTTTGGCCTGCTAAGCATCAACAACTGTTTTTCAAAGGTCCTCGGAAATGTCCTTTGTTGGAGCCATGACGCCTTTCACATACCTGTGTTGTGAAGATCAGCCTTTGATAGTGAATACCCTGAATTCTGTTCTTTAAATAAGGCAGGACCTCCCACACACATACCTGATTATCATCCCATTGATTGAAACACCTAAGTCTAATTTCCCCTTCAAATGAACTAATAATCCTAAAGGTTCACATACTTTTGGCACATACAGATATGTAGCTTTTGATCATTCTCAATAAATAAAAGAACAAGTATAATGTCTTTGACTCATTTGTGTTCTCTTATCTAGTTTTAGGACTTGCGTGGAAAACAATGTTTTAGGTCATATTTATGCAGAAATATTGAAATTCAAAAGGGTTCACAAACTTCTAAGCACCACTGTACTATATGTATTTATATGTATACGTGAGACCTGGAATCCAAATCAATAATTAAAATAATTTCCTTTTTTAACCAACACAGTTTTCAGTATTCATAATTCATAAAATATTGACAGAATTCCACAGGATGATTCCAGTGCAATGTTGTATTTGTTAAATGTTGATATTCTGTGCTTTTAAAGGTTTTTTTTTTATCACTCAACATGGGAGAGGTCTACCTATTACATTCTTCAATTATAAAGATGCTTGCCTTAAATTTCAATGGAATTTTATCTAGTGGTGTTTTTTAAGTTATATCTTGTGCAATAGAATAAAAGTCTACCATAAAATTTTGTTTCTATTTATTGAATCAAACATTGTGTGCATATAATCTATCAGTAAACAGTAGTACATAATTGTTAAAGGGATAAGATAGATGAAAGTTTTCACTTAAGGGGCCATTTCAGTGGGAACACCATGTATAGGTGTTTCCATGTGAATGCTAGACTAAATAACTGATATGCTTCTTTCTATTTACTAAGTGGGTATGAGGTGACCCCTTTGGGCTCTTGCATTCTGCTTCAGAAACAATAAAGTTACAAATAAACTAAAGATATAGAATGATGAAGAGGTCCTTGATGCATCATCACTCCTGGGAATTTGCAATATCAGCATCAAACAAGTAATTTAAGTATCCAGGAATTCTGTTTCAAGCCTCAATGTCCTGGTCCAGCCAACTCAGATCTGTATCCCTGTAAACTCAATTAATGCTATTCTACAACTCCATACCAGCAATAGAAATAGCCATGGCATGGATGCAATTAAAATCTTAAGAGCTAAGGTTGGGAGTTAACTGTTCTGTGACGTGCAAATCTGCAGCTATTACAATGTGACTCTGAATAATCTGTCCAGTCAACAGATTCTAAGCTACTATTTTGCATGCCCAGATGTGTCTGCAAATTCTTTACTCAAAACTAGAAACAGGCCTGACGTCATTAGAAGCCTGAATCTGTTCCTGACATTTGAGATACTGGCTCACAGTAGTCTTTTGGAACCCTTTAGTTTCTTTGGCTGGTAAAATAATTTTATTCCATTATGGCTAAGTGAAATAAAATCCAATTTATGACTCTCGATTTTCCATACAATATCTATCTTGGATATGAGAAGGCTCTGTCAGAAATAAAACAGCAGATCGCAGGTAGTCCTCGCTTAGTGGCATCTCATTCAACGACCTAACTTACAATGGCACTGAAAAAGATTTACAACCAGTCCTCAAATTGCAGCTGTTGCAGCATCCCCAGAGTCACATGATCGTGATTTGGGCACTTGGCAATTAGGGTGTGTTTACGACAGTCACAGCATCCCACGGTCACATGATAGACATTTGCAACCTTCACAGCTGGCTTCCAACAAGCAAGTCAATGGGGAAGCCAGCAGGAAGTCGCAAGTTGGGGTCATGTGACGTGCTTAACAACCACAACTGGAACTGATATTGTAAGTGGGGCACAATCATGTTATGTTTCACTTTATGAATGCACTGCTTAGTGATGGAGTTGCTGGTCCCAATTGCAGTTGATAAGCGAGGACTACATGTTTTGACCTAGATTTACAAAAGGATCTCAGCTATGTTCCAAACATTCTACAGTGCGGGAATGCAAGGGAAGCTGTTCACAGCAGCCAAATATTTCAAAAAATTTTTGCCTGACAAGAGTTTCTTTCTTTCAGGTGTTCTGGAAGGTGGATTCAACAGCCTGCCTAGATGAGATTATTTATATTTACATCCTTTAGAAAAAAAAAAAATTAATATTGGCTGCAGAAGTTCGGCTCTTATTTTCATCTTTATAAATGTTTACTGCTTTAATTTCAGAGTTAGAATTAAGAGCCCAAGAATGTTTTTTCAGAGTATCTCACTTAAAATAGATTGTTAAGAGAGGCTCTGATTTTTTTTTTTCTTTTAATGACTTCCTGCTATACTAGAGATGGTTGTACAGCAGCATTGAGTCTAAGGGTCCTATAGCCCAGATGGATTGCGTTCACTGAGAAACGTTGTAATAGATGTACCCTTAAGGTCTATGTGCACGTGTTTCAGGTTGTGATTAAAACTATGCTGTGTTTTATGTTATTTAATGGATCAAGTCAGTAAATCGGAAAAAAACATGATTGAGTTGATCATGAGCTGCTCTCTACAAATTAAAAATATTTTGCATAAAATTAATTTCTATTTCAAGCATAGGTAGCCTTTTATCTTGATTCAATAGTACTAAAACCTTTATTGGAGTTTAGGTACCTTTTAATTAAACTGCTAGTTTCAAATAGGAAATAGAAATGATTTTTAACTTATGTCCTAGAGTGTGTGTATAAATATGTGAGAAGGTGGGAAATTTTTTTTCCAAAGCCCTAACCCAAAAATGGTTCCAATTTTTCCTTCTCTTTTATGATGGCCTTTCTTAGGGAAATTATATGCATCCTCTGTTAAACATTTCCAGTTCCAGGAGTGGGTCAAAGGGAGGGGGGGATTTACAGTGCGTCTACTCTCCACTTGCACTGACATCACGAGTTTTTCACAATGGCAATAGTTATTGAACATATTTGTATATTTTATATGAAAAATAGCATACCAGTAAGAATGCTTAGAGATCAACAGCAGGTGAGTTGCTGAGTTAGAATGTTTTTAACTTGTTTTAACCTCCCAGTTATATGGTACTATACAGAGCAGTGTGTTTGAAATGCAGAGTCTAGACAAAATTATAAATAAATTCTACTTTCTGTTTTTAAATGATGAGTAGACAATCTGTGACCTGTTGGGCCATCATTTCGGAGATATTTCCTTACCTAAACAGAGAAACAGAATGACCAAGGGCAAAAAAGCAGTGGGAGTGCGAGCGACTTACAACTTGCTGCTGGCTTCCCCATTGAATCTGCTAGTGGGAAGCTGGCAGGGAGCACCTGCCTGCCTGCCTGCCTGCCTTTCCACATATAATAATAGGCTTGTGCTGTTTGCCCTCCCTTCATAACCCTCAGGAGGTTACCCTCAGGAGGTGAAGCCATCTCCTCCTCAGCTGACCTGTGGAACTGCCTGCCACTTTGCTGGGGGGAGGTGGAACAAAGGGAGCTGTGGGCCGCAAGGAAAACTGCACCCCCACTCCCTTGCTGCCAGCCAATTGGGCAAAGGAGCCAGAAAGAGGCAGGAAAGAAGTTGGGGATCCCTTCCTCCTTCCCTTCCCTTCCCTTCCCTTCCTTTTCACATATAATATAGGGTTGTGCCATTTGCTTTCCCCAAGTGACCCTCAGTGAGGCTTGCTGAAGCTGCCTCCTCCTCCTCCTCCTCGGTTGACCCACAGAACTGCCTGCCATTTTGCTGGGGGAAGGTGGAGAAGAGGGAGCTTCAGACCATGAGGAAAAATATGAATTCCCTTTCACCTCATGCATTTGCAATTTAATCAAAACTTCAAAAAAGTTTGTCATTTACACATGTAATGCTTTAAATTGTTCTGCTTCTAATAAGCCAACCTTCATAACAGTGCTTTGACTTCGCCCTCT